AGCACCACTTTAGCTAATGGGGCCTGCTGCTGCTGCCACGCTGCCAGAGCACAATTTCTCATCCTGGAGCAAAGTTCTTAACCCGAGGTACTATTTCTGGGTTAGCAGAGTCTGTAACCTGAAGCGTATGTAACCCGAGGTACCACTGTAGAGTTTTTGTGTGAGTTTGGCAGACGTCGGAAGCTGGAGACACAGAGGCATGACTTCCTCTTTGCTAGACCCCAAGCTTCCCTGGAAACCGAATGGAGAAGAAAGCTCTGCTGGAGTTTTAATGCTGCGAGCCCCTCCAGCCTATGTTCAGATTGTATATATGTGCAAAGAAAACAATCTATCCTAAAGGAGGCACCGATCTTCATTCCAAGGGGACCAAATCCTGAGTAAGCTCTGGCACTCCTGAAATCTCTTACCGCTTGGAAATTTGGGAGCACGTGACAATATTTTCATACCAACCATCAGTTATATTCCCAGGGTGGTTTGCAAAAAAGAATGAAACAATTAAAAAGGGAGACACACACACACAGCCACAAAATCAGAACAGCAAAATAAGACACTTGCACCTCCTATCCCAGGCTTCCTCAGCCTCAGCCCTCCAGATGTTTTGAGACAATTCCCATCATCCCTGACCACTGGTCCTGCTAGCTAGGGATCATGGGAGTTGTAGGCCAAAAAATCTGGAGGGCTGAGGTTGAGGAAGCCTGTCCTATCCCAACCTGTGGTCTTCAGCCAAATTTTATGCAGTTGTCCTAGGAAGCGGGGGTGGAAACTAATGAAGCTTAAAATTCAGGACCCCTAATCCCAGAGGGGCCCCAGAAGCAAATTTAGTCCAAGTTGCTTAAAAATTTTGCTTCAAAAAGCACATCATGCATAACATTTCCCTTTCCCTAATTTTCACACACACCCCATAACCCAAAAACTACAAGGCATAGGAAATTTTTATTCAGACCAGTGACTTGTGATATCATCCAGTAAAGCAATTTTAATCAAACTCTGAGATGTGGTGGCTATTTTTTTTAAAATAAAAAAATGTGGTGATCTGTTGTCGAACAACCCCATTGCAGACCCTCCAAGTGTTCCTATTTTCCAGGGACGTCCCTGATTTAGAAAAGCCATCCCGGTTTCTGATTGATCCTGAAATGTTGGAGGGCATGGTAGGATGTCCCTATTTTCATCAGAGAAATGTTGGGTGGTATGGAGTTATCCGACCCCTGAGCTGTCTGAAGGCAGTCCTGTATAGGGAATTTTGTTTAACGTTTCATTACATTTTTATATATGTTGGAAGCCGCCGAGAGTGGCTGGGGCAACCCCTTCAGGTGTGTGGGGTATAAACAGTAAAGCTATCATTGTGGAATGGGGCATACCTATTTTCATCGGAGATGAAATGGGGGGTGCCATTGAAGAAGATAACAGCGGTTACCCAAACTTTGTTTCTGGCTGTGAAGGGGTCCCCAATATCAGTTCAAATTTCAGGGCCCCCAATTTAACATAGGTCTGCCACTGCTAAGAAAAGAGCAAAGATTGCCCTCCCATGTCCTAACTCATTGCTTTCTGTCTTTCCTGGAAGAAGCAGCAGAACATATGCCTGCGCTGCTCAGGGTAGGCACGCTCCTGAGGGAGGTGTAGTGTAATAATAATAATAATATTTTTATTTATATCCCGCCCGCCCCCAGCCAAAGCCGGGCTCAGAGCGGCTACCAACAGTAAAAATAACAGTTTACATAAAATCACAATCAATTAATTGAAATACATTCTAAAATCAATTCATTCTAAAATCAATTCAGTGTCAAATTAATGGCAACCGCCAAAGGCCTGGTGGAACAGCTCTGTCTTGCAGGCCCTGCAGAAAGATGTCTTGCAGGGCCCTAGTCTCTTGTGACAGAGCGTTCCACCAGATTGGAGCCGAAAAAGCCCTGGCTCTGGTTGAGGCCAGCCTAATCTCCCTGCAGCCCGGGATCTCCAAGATGTTTTTGTTTGAAAACCGTAAGTTCCTCTGTGGGACATACCAGGAGAGGCGGTCCCGTAGGTACGAGGGTCCTAGGCCGTATAGGGCTTTGAAGGTTAAAGCCAGCAACTTAAACCTGATCCTGTGCTCTACTGGGAGCCAGTGCAGCTGGTATAGCACCAGGTGAATGTGATCCCGTGGCGAGGACCCTGTAAGGAGTCTCACTGCAGCATTCTGCACCCGCTGGAGTTTCTGGGTCAGTCTCAAAGGCAGCCCCACGTAGTTACAATAATCCAGTCTGGAGGTGACCGTCGTGTGGATCACAGTGGCTAGGTCAGGGCGAGAGAGGTAAGGAGCCAACTGCTTAGCTTGGCAGAGATGAAAAAATGCCACCTTTGTTATAGCTGCAACCTGTGCCTCTATGGAAGATTACATATTTTTTTCTAACAGAGTTCCTGCTGACACAGAGCGTTTTGCCATCCTGCCACCTGCAACGTGGCTTTACGTGTAAAGGGTGCCCTCCCAGGCGTGGGATAGCTGCTCAGGTGCCTGGAGCGGTGCGTGTGCCCTGCAGCCGGGGGCAGAGTGACCCGCTCATGGGGGTGGAGCGAGCCACCCATGGCGGAGATTCGGGGCGCCTCGTGCCCGCGACTCCCTATCCTCCCCCAAGCTGTCAAAACGAAGGGGGAAGGGGGGAATGCTGCCGGCAAAGTGGCACAGCTCCCCCGCCCTTGCCCCGATGGCTCGGGGGAGGCTTGGGAATCGCGGGCAGGCGGCACGCCAAATGTCACCCCCCTCAGTGAGGGCACCCAGGGTGGTCCACCCCTACCGCCCTCCCCCCCCACGCCCCTTCCTGGAAGGTCATTCTTGGCAGAGATTTCTCAAAAGCGTTTCTAAATGACGCAGCAGTGTTTCAAAATGGGCACTTGATCAGGAAACCTGCTTCCATATTCTTTATGGGGAAGTGGTGTTGAGCAAGGGCATGGCATTGCCCCATTACAGCAATATTACGCCCTGTGTTGCAAGTTGCAGTGAGGTGTTGAAATGAGCTTTTTTATTTTGTGGTTATTAGCTTTCTTTCACTTCTGTAACCCCCCTCGTACAGCTCTTAGAAACTACGGTGCTAGGTGGTGTATAAATGGTTAGAATGAATGGATGGATGGATGGATGCATGAATGAATGAATGAATGAATGAATGAATGTGAAGAGCCTTCCTGGATCAGACCAGACCAGCTGGGCCCCAAAGGCAGAGCTGGAAGCTGAGTGGACAGAGGCTATTGCAGCTGCATCTGGGCAGGGCAGCAGAGAGGTGGCAAGAGACACAGTCCTGAACAGCACAAGCACAGCTCAAGTGGGGCAGTGGGTGGGGCACGTTTTCTGACCCATTTGGAGTTTACCCATGCTTCTGTTTATCGAATAAATCTGTACATCACCCTGAGTATTTTGTGGAAGAATGGATGCAGGTTTTGGACTATTTTGGACTATTTACAGAAATATTATAGTATGATGAACTCACAATCAGGATTTGAGCTATGAGAAACAGAAGTCATTAGATTATAATATTGTGGTTATGGTAAGATAGAAAATAGGGCACAGCACAAGGGGAGAAAAAAACTCCATGGAAAAAGGGGTGGGAAGTTGACAAAAATAAGAGAAGACACGAAATTTGTGCTATCTGTTGAAAATGTTGAAACTTAGTAAAATATAATTGATTAAAATAAATCTGTACATCAGGGATGAGGAACCTTTGGCCCTCCAGATGTTGTCAGATGCAAGCTTCCATCACCTCTGATGGGACCCTGAATCCAGCAACATCTGTAAGTTGTTGAGTCACACTATTTTTTCCCCTGCATCCCCTATTTGGTTGAGGTTTCAGAGCCCTATGGCATTGAATTGCACAAGTCCAGACAATGCAACATGCTCCAAAATTGTTGTGTGTGCATCATGACAACCTGGGACCTGGTAAACCAAGGACTGTGGACAATGTTCTCTGTTCACTAGTGCAAGGAATCTTGTGCTAGCAGACAAGATGGCAAGTTTTAATTTTGTGCAGGAGAGGAATATGGCAGAGAAGGGGCACTAATGTAAACTTGCTGTGCAACAGATCATACAATCTATTGCGTGGTAAAGTTACCAGCTTGAGCATTCTCTTGCACAATGATGTTCTGCTGGCACAAAATATTTTGCCAGTGGAACAAGCGCACCACTTTACCCTAGTACCATATCGGATGCAACCACCTCAAATGTTTCCCCAAATTATCCTTCTCTCCCCTTCCCCAATGCATACCCATCACTCTGTTTTTGTGCACCCCATTTCTCACAGTCCTCAAAAAGAGTAGCCCCCAAAACTGCTTGCCTGAGAGATGGCAGAGGACAGAGTCAAAATGACAGTGTTATCTCTAAGGGGGTCACGGTAATGGCAGGAAAAGGTTAAGAAGCTTAATCTTTGCCAAGTTCTGTTTGAGGGAGCAGTCGGTACATTCAGGAAGAAATGTCACTGCAGCACTTAGAGAAGATAGGATGAGACAGGAAATGAAAGGTCGAGGGAGGGAAAGTCTATCTAAGGAGTCACCGCCATTAAGAGAGCCTGAATCAGATTTATGATCCCCAACAGCTTGGGGAAGAGAACAACATATTCATAAACACAGAGACATGCGTGTATACCACACGTGTGAAAGATTTTTAAAAAATATTTTTAAATTATTGAAAAGGGGACGTGGGTGGCGCTGTGGGTAAAAGCCTCAGCGCCTAGGGCTTGCCGATTGAAAGGTCGGCGGTTCGAATCCCCGCGGTGGGGTGCGCTCCCACTGCTCGGTCCCAGCGCCTGCCAACCTAGCAGTTCGAAAGCACCCCCAGGTGCAAGTAGATAAATAGGGACCGCTTACTAGCGGGAAGGTAAACGGCGTTTCCGTGTGCAGCTCTGGCTTGCCAGAGCAGCGATGTCACGCTGGCCACGTGGCCCGGAAGTGTCCCCGGCCTCTTGAGTGAGATGGGCGCACAACCCTAGAGTCTGTCAAGACTGGCCCGTACAGGCAGGGGTACCTTTACCTTTACCTTTTTAAATTATTGAATACCAGCAAATGAACCTTGAGCTCTACAAGGGGGGAAATACATATTCCAGAATCTACCAGAAGCATTCTGTCCCTCCAGCAAAAGAAACTGAGCCTTAGGCAAGTGCGTGAGAGAAAGCAACCAGTGGCAGACTCGGGGCTTTCAAAATAAATTCAGCAGTGCTTTGTGTGGCAGTTTCCTATTTACCTAATGTTCCATGGCTACGCGGGAAGAAATCTGCAAAATGCTTTTGGGGGTATGGAAAGGGCTATTGAGATGACCATCCTAAATAGAAAAAGGGCAGCTGTTGTACAGAAGCACAAAGCATGTTAATTATTTCTCCTTATTAAGGCAGGATACAAGCACGTCAAATAAATAAATAAGAGCCACAGAGCAAAAAAGAGTTAGTGAGATGTACTGGAAATACTTTTTAAAAAATAGAGCTGTACAACATAGGCTCCCCCCCCAATAATCTTTTCAAACAAAACCTTTAGAACAACTTTACCCAACTTGCTGCGCTCTAGATGTTTTGGACTACAAGTCCCAACATCCTTGACCATTGGCCATGTATCCTGGCAGATGATGGAAGCTGCAGTTTAAAACATCTAGAGGGTACCAGGTGGCTGAAGGCTGCTTTAGAAGATGATGTGCTGTTTTTTCCTACTGAGCAGGGAACATTCCGTGACATCACAACAGTCCAGCCAATCACTTTGGGGAGGGAAGATGTTCACAGACAAAAAGGCAGGTAGTTGACAGCTACCTCGTTCAGAGTAAGTTGGTTAACTATGTCCACTGCCATTGCCTTCTTCTGGTTCCTCCTTCCTTGTGTAAAAAACAAAGAAACAAGTCGAAAACACCAGAGTTACTAAAATGGAAGACCCTTTCCATATCCGGCATATCTAATGCTTCTCCTGTCCAGTCAATTTACATGGTGGACACTAAATCCAGTTTGCTTATTCTTGAAGTCCAGCTCACTTTCACACCCAGCTCCTCTTGTCAGTCAAATAACCCCTTTCCATCATGGTGGGATTGTTCTCCTATTGGGAAACAAGGTTGTTGTTTTTATTCCCGTCTAATTTCTGAATATTCCACAGACTCCTCCACTTGAGGTGGAGGTCCCTTGCTTTTGAACGCCACGGTTGTATAGTGAACCTCATCTGGTTCCTCGGCGCTCGGACTGGGAGGTCTGGGGATCTGCCTGGGTTTTGGGGTCCTCTCTCCAGCTGCTTTTGGCGGGCCAACATGGGGTGATCTTTGACCCTGAAAGGGAAGAGAGGTGCTGTGAAAAAGACCCCCCTTTGCAACATACCTTTAAAGCACTTAAACATCTTGTGCACCTGCTCTCTGTGTTCAAGCACCCCCTCCAAAAATAAAATTAAAAAAATACTTACCTCAGGAGGCCCAAGAGGTTGCAGAACAGTAAAGCTACATGGGATGCATACCTGAGGTAAAATGTTGCTATAGATCAGGCTGGAGTTGTTGGCTCTCTGCTGCCCTCCATTGGCAGAGTTTACATAATTAGCAGAGTTTACATAATTAGCAGAATCCATAGCCTCTGGGATGGCTGCTTTCGGAGTTGCTTTCCTCTTCTTATAAAACCTAAGATCAAAATGGCCAGAACATGGTAAGATTCTCATACACCCCTGTGATTAGAAGACCTGCATGCAGGTCTTTCGCTCTCTTCCTCTACAGCCCTCATCAAAACTCATATCTTCTTGTAGCCAGTGCTGGCCCTACTCAGAGTAGACCTATTGAAAGTCAACCGATATGATCAACTTTGCTTCATTCATTTCAGTGGGTCCACTGAGTAGAACTTAGTTGGACACAACTTGATGGCTTTGGTTTCATTCTCAGTCATCTCCTGTCATCCGTCCCCACGATAACTTTGCATCTCCCATTCCTTCCCAAACTCTAACCAACTGAGCTTCTCAGGTTTGACACAAGTTGCCTGCCAGAAAGTGGTTTCAATGGTCAGGCCAGTAGAACTGTGGACTGTTGTTGAGAACCAGGTGGAGGGAGGGAGATCAGAGAAGGATAAACTCACTTGATCAGGCCCAGGCAGAGCAGGAAGACAACCGCTGCCAGCAAAGCCCCACACAGCCCAGAGAGGAGCACTGCTGAATGGCTTCCTGCGCCTGCAATGATAAACCAAGATCTCAAAGAAAACTGGGATTGGAAATCAGGAATCCTGGTCCCCATCCTCCTTCCTTCATTTCCCAAAAGCAGATGATGATGATGACAATGATCATCATTTGCTGCTCATTTTATTTTTAAACATCTCCAGGTGGTTTATCACAAACAGGTAAAATAAATGCAAAAATTAAGATGCTAGTTTTAATTGGCATCATTTTTCAGTAAGGGTGAAATGGGTGGAGACACCATTCTGGCAATCCCCGATCTACAGAAATAAATGAGGTTCACTTGTAATTAAATGTACTTTAGAATCAGGGTGCATGTCTCCAACCTCTTTGGGGTTTTCCAATATCAGCAGGGCTGCAAAAGTCAGGATTTCTCAATCTGGTGGAGTCTCACCTGTTTTCAAGGAATGAAGGAGGAATTGCATGGTGTAGACTCCCAGAGAATTGTTCCCAAGACAGATGATGCTGAGGTCACCATCCGGGCCACCTGTCCAAATTAGGGAGCTGGTGACCTCATTCTTCTGGACTGAGGAAGAGACTTTCAGGTCTGCCGTGCTCGTGTTTTCAGTTACAGTCTTCCCGTCCAGTTGCCAATGGATCTGAGGTGGAGGCTTGGAGTGCAGGGAACAGTTGCAGAGGATGTCATTGTCCTTACGCCAACAGGTAGTGTTTTTCTGGGGTTTTTTGCTGAGCTTGGGGGCATCTGCAGAGAACCAAGTAGCCAAGGTGAAGAACACATTCCGATCTAGCTAATGACTGCACCAGCTGCAATACCACAATTCATCCAGTAGAGGCAGCCGGGAGCAGACACTGCTGCCACCCTAGTTCCCTACTCTGTTGAATAAGGTAAAATCCTGCTTTGGCTTGGGTTCAGAAGGCAAGGAGTTTCTTTCCCCCTTGTGTCCAGTTTGAAAATAAAAGAATTTACAGGAATGGTTTGCAAGAACTTAAGAGCTGTGTCTCATAGAATTTAGTGTTGGAGGGGATGCCAAGGGTCATCTAGTCCAACCCCCTGCAATGCAAGAATCTCAACTAAAACAGCCATGACAGATGGCCACCCAGCCTCCAAGGAAGGAGAGTCCACCACAAACAATGTGGCCTGGGCTTTTCCAGTCACGGGGCAGCAACAATAGCAAAAGAGGCACCGAATGGGTTTCTTCTGCCCATTCTGCTAGTAGAACCCCTTAATGAAAAAGGGAGTTGGCCTCCCTAAATAGGAGCACTACTCTAGGCAGCTATTTGGGTGAGATGTAAATCTCACTTGGTGTTTTCACACTGAACCTCAAATGCAGCCCAGCAGAGGACAAGGGGTGTCCTGTAGCATGGGAGATCAGCACCCTTAACATTTCCCCTGCAGCAGGGAGTCCCAGTGGTTGACCCAAACCCTGACTCCCTCACTCACATTCCACAAGGAGGTGGAGGAATCCCTCAGCAGAAGCTATGGCGTTCTGAGCCTGGCACCTGTAGTCACCCTGATCCTCTGCTTTCACATTGACCAGCTCCAACCAGTCATCTGGCAGCTTCTCCAAGGCCCTGCCTTCCTTGAACCAGCTCGTAGTGGCTGCAGGGTTGCTATCGGCCTTGCAGAGCAGCCGCAATAAGTTGCCTTCCTGAACCGTCAACTGGGAGCCACTGGCTACTTCCCTGGGGCAACCTGTAATCACAGGAAAGTGCTGTCATGTCTGTGAAACAGCAGCTGCCCCGCTGAAGCCAGCCTTATCCTCCAGAGGAGAAAGGATCTGTGCGCTGACTTTTGCACCCTAAAACTCTCTGGTACCTCGAGCTAGTGCTGGGTCCCTCCTGTGTGCATGGGTGACATTGAACGTCATTGTCTTTGGGCGATCTGGAACAGACATATCAATGTTGAATCAACAAGAGAAGAGCCTTTACATGGGTGAATGAGAGGCCCGTTGCTGTGCAAGAAAGGGCCTCCTGGTGGCATTGGGACTGGCTAGCTGGAAGGGAGGGAGACCACCAATGGCAAGCAGATCCAGAAGCAATGAGAGGTGGAGCCAGAGACAGGTACAGCCAACTAAATCCAGTTATATCGCTATTCTTGTCTGCCCTGCTGAGCTCTAGAAGGGTAAAATGGAGACCAAGGAGGAGAAAGCTGGCAGCCTGGGCCACCCCTGAAGCTGGTTGTAAGTAAGAAGGCAGCAAGTAGGGGCTGTCTAAGGGTGGACTAAGGTTGGTGGGTCAGTGCCCCGTTTGCCTCAATGGATCAGCCTGTACTGTCCGCTGGAAAGGTAGGGTCAGCAATGACCGTCAAGGAAAGTGCCCTTCCCCTGCCCAGTGTGCACAGAGCAGACAGAGCAAGATGAAAAAGCACCATATTTTGACACAAAAACACTGCACTGTTGAGACTGCAATCTAGGCTGCGTCTTTTACCTCCTATTCAGATCCAGGTCTGCCCTCCATTGTCCATAATCTCGGTGGATTTGGGGTTGTATCCCAGTGCTAATCTGTCACAGAGTAGACTCATTGACATGAATTAACATGCCTAAAGTCCATTGATTTCAATGGATCTACTCGGAGTAAAACTTAGCCGGTGACATTCTGCTTGTCAGATGTTTACTTTATTCTGTTCCTATTAGCGTCGTCATTGCTAATCAGATTATTGCATTTTTTGAAAAAGGAAACAGAGGGGAAAAGAGAAAGAAGAAGGGCATAAATCCTTTTCTAAGCTATACACACACAGAGAGAGTGGGGTTTTTCTGGGGGGATGCAGGGGGATGCCATACCCCTAAACATTTTGTGAATCTAAGTTTGGCAGTAGTTCAATATGAGTAGGGGAAAGAGAGAACCCCTAAAAATTAAAAAAGCACTGTATACACACACAAACACCCCATGATGACCAGAAAATTGCTCATAAAAAGACAATGCAGATTCTCAATTTGCCAAATGAATATCAGAGTATTGGGTTGTGCAACACCCCAACAGCTAAACACAAGGCCCACCTATGAGGCTATCACATGGTACCAAAGAAGGGGAAGAGAAATTACTTTGCAAAATGACTTAGGTCCCCACAAGCAGCATCCTTATGTCATCCTTTTCATTGGATAAGCAAAGGAACTATGTTCTGCATCTCCAGGTAGCAAACAGTGAGACCATTGCCACCTGGGGATATTCCTTCATGAGATGCTCATTAGACAAAAAGGTCTCGAAGCAACTGAAGATGGGCAGTGGGAGAGGGACATCCAGCCAATCTCCTCCATTGTCCACACAGAGCTTTTCTTCTGAAACATCAAAGCCACATCCTACATATCCTGCTTTATGGCAGGACAGATATGTGAACAGAAACTTCTAAGTTTGGCCTTTGCATTTAATATTAGAGAGCTGTCATTCTGATGAGAGGTTGCATAAATATGCCCTCTCCTGGTGAATGAGGATACTTCCACAAATTTCAGACAAGAGTTACCGGTATGTTCAGTGACTTGAATTTGTGGTTTTGCCCCTGGGGCTGCATTTATACATCCTGAAACTAACTTCTTAGAAAGCTTCTGCAAATATGTAAGCTCATCATGGGGTTCCTGAACTTCTGATGAAGCTGTCAAAAGCTGCATCTCACACTATTAGGCTGACACACTGTACAATGCAGCCACAGCAGTGTACATTTGCAGAGGTCCCCTTAGTGGAAGCATGCTGGTATTAGTTGCAGGTCAAGCCACTTAGCATACAACGGAGTTTCCTAGGTTAATGCCCCCAAGGAACTTCCCACTCCCCATCTCTTACATTGCACAATCACTGAAATATTCTTCCTGATTGAGCCGTGTAGATTCTCTGCCTGACATTCATACATCCCAGCATCCTCTGATTTAATGCTGGACAGTTGAAGAGTTTCTTTACTGCCCTGCATATGGTTGTTTAGGGTCTTGTTCTTCTTCATCCATGTCACAGAGGGAATAGGTTTGCCCTGAGCTTCACAAAGCAAGCTGACGGTGTCACCTTCTCGGACCACCAGCTCTTCTTTCTGTGCGGAGAAATCTGTAAGAGAAATGCAATTAGATCACAATTGGTCCTGAGATGCCTGATGCTAAGGAATCCTCATTCAGTGCTGAGATGTTCCTGTGTATTTTGAAGAAGGATGGTTGACACCAGGTCTGCAGAAATGAGGATTCAAATCTTTACAATGATTATTAATTATAATTGGTTCAAGACAGCTTTGGGCCATAGTTTTGCAAAAAGAGAGATGATCCCCTCATTTCTCTGCAAGTTCAACTGGCAAGAGAATAATAATAATAATAATAATAATAATAATAATAATAATAATAATATCCACTGTTTTGCCTTCCACTGGGAAGACTTGGGCCCATTTCTTTTCCTTCTCATTCCACTTTAATACACCACTTAATGCCAACATCGGATTCTAAATGGCTTACAAAGTACAAAAACCAGTTACACAAACATTAAAATATAAACACCCACAATTGAAATAGGCAATAAAACAGTCCTATTAAATAGAAAACACACGGCAATTAAAAGAAGAGACCCAGGTCAAGAGCCTGAAGGGTGCTACGGTGGGGAGTGAATTTTGGTTCGGGTGCAAGGATGTGTGCGTGGCTTGGCATGGCTGCTGGAAAGACCCACTGAGCCCAGCCCCTCCCTGTTACCATCCAGTTTGCTCTGCCCCAGCTCCCAGCCATCTCTAAAACCCTTCCTCCTGCACAATCCCCACTCTGAGATCCCAAAGCAGCTATTGGTTGTCCAGCGGAGCTCAGTGAGGATGGGGATATGCAAAAACACCTAAGAGTTTTGTATCTCACCAGGGTGTCCAGGCCTTGTGATTCTGATGACCTGAGGTGGGTCTGAAACATAAGAAAACAGCGAGGGGAGCATGAAAGGAGTAAATTAGCTTTCATGGGCTAGAAAGAACTGTTGGCTGTTCATGGGAGGGGGAAGCAGTACTGAGCTATGGGAGCTACTCACAGAGCACTTCAAGAGAGATTGTATTTGCAACTGTTCTCCCAACTGCAGGGTATCTGACACTGCAAGTGAGGGCTCTGCCTTGATCCTGCAGAGATGGTGTGAAGGTGAAGCCAGAAGCAAAGGTCCAGCTCCCATTGCTGTGCTGATGGTTCTGTGCAGTTGCTGCTCCTGGCAAATTACTCCATGAGATCTGAGGCCGGGTCCATGATTCTTTCCATGGGCAGGTCCCTGGCGCCTGGCAGATGAGGGTGGTGCTCTTCCCCAAAACCACCTCTGATAAGTTCAGGATCTTTGGCTTCTCTGCCAGCTCTGAGAAAACAAAAGTCCCCAGGATGGGATCAGAAGAAAATTCACAGACTAAAGTAACTAGGGAACAGGACACAGGAGTCCTGAATTATGGATGGTCACCAGCACTACTTTACCCCCCACTTTGCAGCAAATCCTGCCATTCTTTCATTTGTCCTTTAACAATAACTTTGTGTCTCTCCCTTAATAGACTGATTCCCCATGCAATGGTCTGTTTTCTCTACCAATGTTGGTCAATGTTTCTGCTCATTGTGGACTCAGCCTGGAGAGGGAGAAATCTGGATGGCTGCCACTATGTTGCTGAACATGATGTTTGATACTCAGGATCCTGAAATTGGAGGATGAAGCCAGATGTGATTTGGGAGACACAGGAAGAAAAAAGGGGGGGAAATGACACCTTGAATGCAGCAGCCGCAGGAGGGATCTGTGTTTCATCAAAAGAGGAGCAGAGGCTGAGAAGGGGTCACTTAACCCTTGAACTATTTTTTCTGAAGCAAATGGCCACCCACCCAAACTGCTCACTTGCATACAGGGGAATAGGAAGCAGGCTTGCATATCTTTTACTGTGGGGTGAGGAGCTTGGAGAGGGCAATTTCTAGGGACTCAGCTATACTGTTGCAAATAAAACGTTTCAAGTGTGTTGCAAAGTGCAATATACAAATGTGACACTAGATGGTGATGGTGAGCCATGGCAAATTCAGTGGATTAAAAAAATATTCCTCAGCGTTTTTTTATATGTGTGTAGATTCCACCTAGGAGACATGGAACAAATCCAGAACTCCCCTGTCCACACTCCCCACCCCGTCCATGCACACACCTTCTTCCAGGAATGGGTTGTTGAACTGTGTAATGAGTCTAGCTTGTCTGAATGGAAAGAGGTGGATGACCATGTAGAAACAGCTGACATTTCCCTGAATGCCATGTAGCCAACACAAGCCTGGCTTTCATATCACCTTAAACCTAGATGAACTATTGTTTGAAGGTGAATGCACACTGTGTTGGTGTAGGGGACCCAAATCAAAGGTGTTTTGCTCCTGCCATGTTGCCAGGAGCTAAGCCATGGTTTGACAGAATGTTAATCTAAACCAGTGGTTCCCAATTAACTAATTACTAAGGAAATCAGCCGTGAGTGCTCACTGGAAGGACAGATCCTGAAGCTAAGGCTCCAATACTTTGGCCACCTCATGAGAAGAAAAGACTCCCTGGAAAAGACCCTGATGTTGGGAAAGATTGAGGGCATAAGGAGAAGGGGACGACAGAAGACGAGATGGTTGGACAGTGTTCTCGAAGCTACCAGCATGAGTCTGACCAAACTGCGGGAGGCAGTGGAAGACAGGAGTGCCTGGTGTGCTCTGGTCCTTGGAGTCACGAAGAGTCGGACACGGCTAAACAACAACAACAACAACAACAAGGACCCCCTATTTTCCAAAAGCCAAGCCACAGTCCCCCTACTTTTGAACATTTTGATAGCTCTATGGTAGTTACCTCTGCAAAGCAATTTTTGAACAAAATGTGGAGTAGCCTTTAATAAGCAAAGCATTTTAGATGTACTAAAAAAACAGACTAGGGCTGAGAGATATCTGGTATTCAACATTGTGATATATCAGCAGCTAAACATCACAATGTTCCGATATATCACGATGTCTGAAATTGGAGATTGGGCCTGGGGATGAGGGAAAGAGCAGCCGCAGAGATTGGATGGCTGGGGGGAGGAGAGGAAGCGATGTCACCCCCACTGCATGGTTTGAGTTTGAGGGGGTGGGGGTGCATCAAGCCACAATCGGAGGGGGGGGCAGCCAGTGAAGAAGCACATCCACTGTGGCTGCTGCTGCTTTCCTGCTGACTAAAAAAAGCTGCTCTGAGTCCGTGCCAGGGGGAGGTAGTGCTACAATTCCTTGAAGTGAGAGCAGTCAGCTGCCCTGTTCTCCATCAGCATGAGGAGAAGGCAGCACCTCGCAATCGGCTGCCCTGGTCTCCCTCGGTGTGAGGGAAGGCAGCTCAGATCAGCACCGTGATCGTCTGAGATCATCCTGCGATTTGGGTGGTGCCTTGAAATCAGCTGCCCTGCTCTTCCTTGTATGGGGATTGATATACTGCTACGTATTGCTGGGTCGAAATCGTTATCGCGGTGTGATTTCAAAACCAATTTTAAGCAATATATTGGAAAAAATTGCGGAGTACTAAAACAGACCATAAAATTTGTGAAATACTATGCAAAAAATTCCAAAAAATGAGTTGGGGAGTGGAGGCAAGGGATGGGGCCACGGAGGCCCTGTGTGTATTCTGCAGATCCCAGGGGTCAATGGACTCCTAACTGGGAACCACTGATCTAAACTCAGGTTCAAGATTTGTTTCTCTCCAAAAGAAACCATGAGCTGTAGCATAGGCTTGCTTTTTAGCTAACTGCTCATGGTTTGTTTGGGGCTCAGACATTAAGCTAAGGCTTAATCTCCTGTAAAACCACCTGCCCCACACCACCAAGGGGAAGGTTCTCCACCTCCATGCTGAGCCAAATCAAGGCTTAGCTCTGTGCAGAACAGCAGCAGGAGAAACGGGAGGAGCAAAGTGCCCCTAATTTTAGCCCTGTGCCTCAACCCTCTGTGCACTCACCTTAAAACCAGTCAGCTATGGGAAAGTGACCTGAGTTTGAGGCCTGGACAAGATAAGAGGCACGCCTGTTGCTCTGCCCACATTTGCTAGAGGCTCCATCCATGTGTGCTTCTGGCCCTGCCCACCACTTGCATGTGGCCCCTGGAATGAGGCCCATGAATGAAAGAAATGTCCCCCACCCAAAGCACCCTCTGGTCCTAGAATTCAGGATGCAGTGGATTGGGACAATGTTCCAGATCTGCACTGAGGCTGATTTCAAAGGTGGCAAGAGAACACCTCTCTGCTTCTCCTGCCATTGAGGAAGCTGTGGAGAGAGGCTGGGGGAAGGAGAAGAAGCAGGTGATGGGATGCAGCTGGAAGTGAAGGAGAAAATGCCTCTAGTTTCCTGTTTCTCGACACTGTCAGCATAGAATCCATGAGAGAGTTCTTCCCTCTAGTGAGCTGTGTAAAGTATTCAGACATTTGGAGATGCAAATGATCTAATTTTGACGTTACAACAATGGAGAGGTACAAGCATGGAGCACTTGTACCTCCTGTCCCTTTCGCATCAGCATAATGTCCAGAGGTTGAGGCATATTTGTAGGCAGAGCCTTTCTCCCCTTTACAGCATGAAAAAGCACAAAACAGGGAATGAGGGAGCAAATAAAGAAGTAGGAAACCTCTTACCTGTCACAGAAACACGAGTTAAAATATAAGAATAGCTGAATTTTAAGGTTCCTTTCTCAAATCGAAAATAGTACTGTCCCTCATCCTCAAACTTAACGTCATTGATGCTAAAGGAACAGTCACCTTCTGATGGATTTCCAGTCAACTGGAAACGATTCCCAGCAAATGAGACAATGCTTTGATCCTTGTCATTACTGGCAACAATACCAGCAAAGTAATTCCGGGTATAGCCAATATAGGACGAAGCACCATCTTTCTTAATCCAGTAGACGTATAATTCCCCAGGATGCAGATCCTCAGAAGTGGGATAAGTGAAGTTGCAGGGAATGTGAATGCAGAGACCTCTCTGCACAGTGACAGCCTTTAGCGCTTTAAGATCATATCCCGGGAACTGACTCCGCAGACCTGCCAAAGGAAAGAAGGAAGGTGTTCACTGGTTTGTGGGCTGATGCTTAGCGAAGACCAGTTTTGCAGCTGACCCTCTTGCCAGCATACTGTACACCTCGAGAAGAACATTCTGCACAGTCAACAGCACCAAAACATCAAGGGTTGTCTGGAGCAGCGGCACCTGGGGATTGTGGTGGGTCTCCAGTCCCAGGACTTCCCAACCACCCACCACAGTAGCAGGACCTCAGGGGGAAGCATTTCCCTGGGCAAGAAGGAGGAGGACATTCAGGTGTGAGTTTCTAGCAGGTGCCACACACACTCAGAAGGAGGAAGGTGCTCTCAATTCCCCTGGCCAAGGACCCCGAACCAGGGATATTCCAGTGCTCCTTGGGCCTCACACTGGAACTCTTCCTGCCATTTGTACTCAGGACTCATCATTTCCAAGTTTTCAAATTCTTCACTCTTAAAATAAACCATGAAGTGAGCAAAACCTATGAGGTACATAGGAAGCAGGGCTGGTCTCAGGAGGTGGCATGGTTGGGAGTCTGTCATGAGCCCTTATCCCAGTAGGGACTCAATGATAAGAACCCTCTGGAGCTCCTGCAGTGAGAGGGAGACTCTGTGAGGAAGGGGCATGTGTGGAGGGTGTCTTGTTCAAGGACCACCCAAAACCTGGACCTGATCAGAAGCTGCCTTATGCTGAGACCATCCACTGGTCCATCTAGATTTACTCTGAAGGGTCATGCCTTTCCAGTGTCCCAGACAGGAACCTCTCCCAGTTTGTGGAGATGCTCGGGTTTAACTTGGGGTTGTTGTTTTTTTGCAATTATTCATTCATTCATTCATTCCCCACCTTTTTCCTGACAGGGACTCATGTTGGCATAGAGATAAAAATAAGAACAGTTAAAAACATTTTTAAAAACCCAATAATTTAAAACAATTAACCATTAAAGCTATATACACACAAATACACACTTTAAAATATACAGATACTACAATAAAAACAGCACAGCACCAGCCCTTTCATCACAAGTAGTCAGTTTCCAAACTCAGCCTTGGTCCTTCCCTCTTAGGAAGCAACACTCAGAAGAACACATTTTCTCATTTCTGTACACCAAGGGTCGAGAAAATGTGAGCCTTCAGAAGTTGAGGGACTCCAGCTTTGCTGGCTGGGTGGGCTTTGCTGGCTGGGGCCGAGAACATCTAGAGTCTAACAATATCTGGAAAGGCTGAAGGTTCCCCAGTGTTGTCATGAACCACATCTACCTTTGCAGAGAAAGGCAAGGATCAACAGTGTCACCGTCGCCATCGATGAGGCTGGGTTCTTCATCCCCCAGGGAAGGTTCATGAGTTGTATCGTCCTTCTGCCTCTTGGCATCTTTTTTGAACTGGAGGCTTCTTTCTGAGGCTGGAGCTCTGGGGCAAAGAAAGAAGAGAAGCATGAGGCACTAAGTGAGCAGCGCTGGCTGAAGCAGGGAAGATACTGAGAACCCATAGTTTCAGAAAGAATCAAAATGTGGAAGCAGCATTAGCCACAAAGTCTCTCATTCCAATGCCACAGTCTAGCATGAGCTCAGACGCCAGGCTCGCAAAGGCCACCAGCCCCAGCCTCAGTTTCCCCATTTCTAACATTCCCAGCAAGCTTGCACTCCTGTCTCAGTGACAGCTACGCTGGTTATGTCCACAGAATGCAAAATGGCAGGATTCCCCAAGGATGTGCTCTGTGGAGAGCTGGCATCAGGCACCAGGCCTAGTAGCGGACCAGTCGATTCTCTGATCCTGCCCTCTACTAGGGGGTGTGGGAGAGCTGAGGGAGTCTCCGTACTGGTACACACACACACACACACACACACACACACACACTGAGTGGAGCCAGTCACTTTGCACAGGCACCAGTGGAGTCAATGGAGTCAAACACATGAGGTAGCTCACACCCTGATGAGAAGGCCGCTGTGGAATCCAAGCTGAAGAGCCAAGTGCATCTGCTTGTTTGTGTTTTTTGGACAGCAATGAGTGAGGAAGAAGGAGAAGACTGAAGAGGAAGAAGGACACAATTGCCCCCCTCCCGGGTGATCCAGGGCTACCCTGACCAGCTCTGGACCAATTCTAGATTGACCCAGAAAAGCTTGATTCTGTTCGGGATCCAGGAGCTATTCAGTCAGGATGCACAGTTTCAATGCCAACGAACATTTTAAACATACACATCTCCAGTGTGGTGTAGTGGTTAAGAGCGGTAGTCTCGTAATCTGGGGAACCGGGTTCGCATCTCCGCTCCTCCACATGCAGCTGCTGGGTGACCTTGGGCCAGTCACACTTCTCTGAAGTCTCTCAGCCCCACTCACCTCACAGAGTGTTTGTTGTGGGGGAGGAAGGGAAAGGAGAACGTTAGCCGCTTTGAGACTCCTTCGGGTAGTGATAAAGCGTGATATCAAATCCAAACTCTTCTTCTTCTTCTTCTAGACATATTCAAAGAGCTCATATTTAACTAATCTCTTCATCCAACGGCCAAATGACATGTGATCCAGGAGATCTCTGTTTCAAAACAGTCGATAGGGTCCCCTGAAATAGATGGGGACCCCAGCATCATCAAGGAAAGGCAGCTGTCCCCGTCCATGTTACTTCCCTCTGTCTCCCTCCATGTGGTTCCTCATTCCTCATCTCTGGTTGCTGATCTCTGGTTGCTATTTGTCGTCCTTGTGAGGCAAATAGCAGCTTGAAGGGGAGGATAAGCCCTCAATGATGTGGAAATGTGGAGAACTAAAGACTGGGGAAATGAGACGCTGAGAGAAACCAGGGGGAGTGCTCTGGCAGGGAGCTTGAAAGCAAAGACCTGAGCCTAGAAACACAGCGCAAATGCTAGTCTGGATGAGCTCTTTGTTGTGTGTTGTTGCACCTGCATAATAAATGCAAGAAACAGGAGAACGACCTGTCCCAGGACCCTCCTACTCTTGGCTGTGTTTTGTTCTGCAATAGTCGCCCTGGGGGAAAACAGCCTTTCTCTGAGATTGGGAGAGAAAGAGAGAGAAAAAAGCCTTCTTCAAAACCAGGGCAAGCCCAAGACATTTTGGTGCTTGAGGTGGAGCAGGAAATGGCACACACCCACACACCCACACACCCACCCAAACACCCACCCACACATGCATAGTACCAAAAGCAAGGCAAGTTATTTTGACACAACACCTTAAATGAGCTTTCCGCCTGAAGCAGCTCCCTTACCCTGCCCAATAGTAGGGTTAGCTCTGCTCACCAACCCTCAAAAGAACCTCCAAAACATCTGCTTACTAAACCTCTTCTTGTGAACCTTTACCGCTTTGGGTGGGGTTCAAAGTAAAGACAACTGAGACATTTTGGACGGTGTATGCACCATGCCTTTAAAACACATCTTAAGCACATTTTCTGCCCCAAGGAATGGTAGCTTGCCTCTTACAATTCAGAGCAGCTTTTTTTTAAAAAAAGGACCATTCACAGTATTTGGGGGGACGGGGGGATGTGCTTTAAATGTATGGTGTTACACACTACAATTCCCTGTCCAGACCCAGAATTTCTCCTGACCTGTCCGTTTCGACTTGCAGCAAGAGATGCACCTCCTGGTTGCCTCTGTCTTTCCGCCTGTGGTCCTGACCCTCGATGAGAATTCTGCTAAACACAGAAGGGGAAATAATAGACAGGAACCAGAAAAGCAGAAGTCTCTGCAAAACGTCTTTTGCAAGCAGGAGGAGGAGGTGGGGGGAGATGGCTTTCTCTGGCATTTCCCCCTTCTATCATATATGAAATCTCAAGATATCACAACTGAAGCTTGACATTAGCTTCACTCTGGGTAGATAAAATATAGTAGAACCCAATGTGGTGTATTGGTTAGGAAAGAGGTCAGTAAACTTTTTCAGCAGGGAGCCAGTACTCTGTCCCTTAGACCTTGTGGGGGGCCTGACTATATTTTGAAAAAAGAAGAAGAATGAATTCCTGCGCCCCACAAATAACCCCGAGGTGCATTTTAAATAAAAGGACACATTCTACTCATGTAAAAACATGCTGATTCCTGGACTGTCCGCAGGCTGGATTTAGAAGGCGATTGGACCAGGTCTGGCCCCTGGGCCTTAGTTTGCTTACTCATGGTTAGGATGTTGGTTCAAATCTCCTGTTCAGCCATGAAGTTTGCTGGTTGTTCTCAGGCCAGTCTTTCTACCTAACCCACAACGGAGGGTTGTTGTGAGGATAAAATAGGTCAGAGCAGAGAAACATGTTTGCCAGCCTTAAACTCTTTGCGGAGGGAGGATTGGAATATTAATGCAATAAGCTGGGGGGGGGGTTAAAGAAAAGGAAATTCAAAGCAGTAACCCTGGCCACTTTCACTAATGCTCTTCCCTCTAAATTTCGGGCATTGTCAAATCCTGGTTCTCCTGACCCTTTAAAAAGGTTTGCTCACACATACACACACACTGCAAAAGTGCCATGCTTGGGAAATTCCAGCCACTAGCCATCTCAGTTGGCTCAGAGGCATCTAGCCGTAAAAAAACCCCGAGCACATGCTGCAAGAAGAAGAAGAAGAGTTTGGATTTGATATCCCGCTTTATCACTACCCTAAGGAGTCCCAAAGTGGCTAACAATCTCCTTTCCCTTCTTCCCCCACAACAAACACTCTGTGAGGTGAGTGAGGCTGAGAGACTTCAGAGAAGTGTGACTAGCCCAAGATGCAAATTGCCACATGCAAATATGTGCCATAGGCTTGTGCCCCAGGCAGCAAGTAGCTGGAAGCAGGGGGTGGGAATAAATGGACAGCTCTCCCTCATAACACCAGAACTCAGGAACATCCAATGCAGCCAAATGTTGGAAGATTCAGGGCAGATAAAAGAATGTGGTGCATAAGGAACTATGGAACGCACTCCCACAGGAAGGAACCCTGTCTGCTAGCATAGATGGCTTTAAAAGAGAATTAGACAAATTCACGGAGGAGAGGGCTGTCAAAGGCTACTAGCCAAATGGGGGATATTCAGTTGCCACTGTCGAAGGCATCATGCCTCTGAATCCAAGTTGCTGAGAACCACAGCTTAAATGGGCATCTAAGTTCCCTACCTTTCCCATCAAAATTAAATCCACCATGGATTAGTCCAGTGGGTTGCTAGCTGCAACCACCTCCTGAATTTAGAGCACCAGAACTCTACGGTATGCTAATTTGGGGGGGGGGCAGCAGCCAAAGAGGTAGTGCCTCCGTGGGCTCCCCAGCACCACCACCACAGTCTCCCCTGCCTGGGTTGCATGGTGGCAGCTTCCAGCGAGATCTTGCCAAAAGCTGGCACTGCTTCTGGAACCATTTCTGCACCAGCAGCAGAGGCGGTGAGGTGCCCAAGGGGAGATGCCACCTGTGCCCAAGGCAGCTACCTGTCCCCACCCTATGGGTGGGCTGGCCCAGGAGGAGGGGAGATGTAACTGGGAGTGGGAGGGAAAGAGGGGGCAGGATAGTCCAAATGCCATTTCGAAGCAGGCAAGAAAAACCATTCCATCCCACTTGCCTTGGTTGTGGAAAAGAAACAGCATAGAAGGATTTTGGCATGCTACACTTGTGAAGAAGAAGAAGAGGAGGAGGAGGAGGAGGAGGAGGAGGAGAAGGAGTTTGGATTTGACATCACTACCTACCCTAAGGAGACTCAAAGTGGCTAACATTCTCCTTTCCCTTCCTCCCCCACAACAAACACTCTGTGAGGTGAGTGGGGCTGAGAGAAGTGTGCCTAGCCCAAGGTCACCCAGCAGCTGCATGTGGAGGAGCGGAGACGTGAACCCGGTTCATCAGATTACGAGTCTACCACTCTTAACCACTACACCACGCTGGCTCTCTTGTGGTTCTTGGGAACCATAGCTCTGTGCAGAGAATTGCATGGCTGTGGTGCAGTTGCTTATCTCCACACACCCAGCCTAGGAAACTGCAGTCACCTGGTTTCTTTGAGGAAACCAGGGCGGTTAAAACAATTTTAAACTGATAGCATAGATGTGCCCCCAGACATGAGTTAAAGGCAAAGATGAAAGTGGGAAATTCAGTTTTGAGGCAATGGCGCAACGTGTCTGCATGCAGATTGGACTTTCCTTGGTGAAAGGATGGTGTGACCATTGAGGAAGGCTGGTGACTGGATGGAAATTGCAAGATAGGCATGCAAATCCTGTCTCAAATCTGGTTTCATAATGCAACTCTTGCTGCTTCAAAATGCCTCTGACAAAGCTCAGAACAAAGGCCACCAGGCCTGGCTCAGCAAGCCCACGAGAGAGAGCCCTGTGTCCAAATACTGGAGGTGGTCTAAATGGATCTACCTGCGGTCCCCTGCTTGAGACAGCAGGGTGGGCAACTGTGGGGAAAGCAGTGAGGTGACCCTTGAGATTTCTACACAGGGATAAAGAGAAGCCACGACTCATCCAATGTTGACCAACTTTCCGGTCATGTGCCATGGTCCACCAATGGGTCAGGTCAGCATGTGTCCTACTTTACAGAGGACAGCCCACTCTTTGAAGGGCGGTGTGGTCCAAGTCTGATTTAAAGGTAATGCATAGGGAGCTGAGATTTAAGAAGGGCCATGTATAAGAAATGGAAGAAAGGGGGAATCACGAAGAAGAGTATACTCAAGCAGCCAACAGCTGCAGGGAGGTCAGGAGGGGAAAAGCCCAGAATGAGGCCAGGCTTGCAAGAGAGGTTAAAAATAGTATTAAAAGGTTTATTTGGCTATGTTCGAAGAAAGAGGAAGAACAAGCAAATTAGTAGATCCTCAATGTGGAGAAGACAGAGAAATGCTGCTGGGCGACAGAGGAAACTGCTCAACACCTACCATATTTTTTGCTCTATAAGACTCACTTTTTCCCTCCTAAAAAGTAAGGGGAAATGTATGTGCGTCTTATGGAGCGAATGCAGGCTGTGCAGCTATCCCAGAAGCCAGAACAGCAAGAGGGATTGCTGCTTTCACTGGCGTCGCGATCCTTCTTGCTGTTCTGGCTTCTGAGATTCAGAATATATTTTTTCTTGTTTTCCTCCTCCAAAAACTAGGCGCGTCTTGTGGTCTGGTGCGTCTTATAGAGCGAAAAATACGGTACTTTGCATCTGCCTTCCAGACCCTCCAAATGTCCCTATTTTCCAAGGACGCCCCTGATTTAGAGAAGTCATCCTGGTTTCTGATTTGATCCCGGAATGTCCCGCTTTTCCTTAGAATGTCCCTATTTTCATTGGAGAAATGTTGGAGGGCATGGAGTTATCTAACCCCCGAGCTGTTTGAAGGCAATCCTGTATAAGGAAGTTTGTTTTAACGTTTAATGTTTTATTATGTTTTTATATGTGTTGGAAGCTGCCCAGAGTGGCTGGGGCAACCTAGTAAGATGTGTGGGGTATAAATAGTAAAATTTTCCTTATGGAATGGGATGTCCCTATTTTCATCAGAGAAATGTTGGAGGGTTAGCAGTACCCAACCTGGCAATAACAGCATAAACAATGTGAGGAAGGAGCTGCAGCCCAAGATAGGAAAGGGGGTAGTAAGTGAACACTGAGCTATTTTAAAAGAATTCAAATCTCCAGGGCCTGATGAGCTGCACCCAAGGGAACCAAAGCAGCTTGTGGGTATATTCTCAGAGCCTCTGTCTATAATCTTTGAGAATTCTTAGAGAACAAGTGAGGTCCCTGCAGACTGGAGGCAGGCAAATGTTGTCCTCATCGTCAAAAAAGGGAAAAAAGAAGACAGGTAACTATCAACCTGCCAGCTTGATGTCAATACCTGAAAAGATCCAAGAACAGATAATTAAATGGTCAGTCTGTGAACGCTGAGAAAAATACGTTGTGATTACTAAGACCCAGCATGCATCTGAGGCCTCTTAGGCCCAGGATGACAACTGTCTGCCGCCAGCTTCACACGATAGGGACAGCCTAACTTCCAAGCTCATGCCTGCCAATTCTTCATTCCAATCCACATGATGTCCAGGAGTGGGGACCAATCAGACGTTTGCAGGGTGTCACCTTCTACACGGGACGTTGGTGGCACTGTGAGTTAAACCACAGAGCCTAGGGCTTGCCGATCAGAAGGTCGGTGGTTCGAATCCCTGCGACGGGGTGAGCTCCCGTTGCTCGGTCCCTGCTCCACCCCAACCTAGCAGTTCGAAAGCACATCAAAGTGCAAGTAGATAAATAGGTACCGTTCCGGCAGGAAGGTAAACGGTGTTTCCGTGCGCTGCTCTGGTTATCCAGAAGCGGCTTAGTCATGCTGGCCACATGACCTTGGAAGCTGTACGCTGGCTCCCTCAGCCAATAAAGCGAGATGACCGCCTCAACCCCAGAGTCGGTCACGACTGAACCTAATGGTCTCTTTACCTTTACCTTCTACACATGACTCAGCATATTCCTTACCATCACTTCTGACTTGGATGGATTAAGGAATTCCCCCACCCATTCCTGCTGGCCCATCTTAAACCTGACCTTCACTGAACGGTCCCAGAACAGTGCTTTTCTTCTGGAAAAAAACAGTACCAGTACTCACCATGAAGATGTTACAGTAAGTGCCACATTTTTAACCAGTGGGGTTTTTTTCTTCTAGGGAGGAAAAAAGGTGTTAGTACTGAGTACCGCCAGAGAAAAAGAACTGCCAGAGCAGAATTCAAAAGTGCCACAACTAAAACAGGAA